TGGCGTAACCACCAGTCCGGTGAAATGTGGTACGTGTAATTGAGCTCCTGGCGGAAAGCGTCCAAGGAGCAGCACTCGGCCACGTAGTGGCGCACGCTGGGATGGGCTCCCCCGCAGGAGGGACAGGTCACTGTTCGCTCCGGCCTGCTGGTGCTCCATCGTCGTGTCGGGCTGCGGGTTGCACCGCAGCGGAAAATCTTCAGGTAGATCTAGTCCTCAAGCGTCAGGGAGCCTCTGAAAATGGCCCAAACTTTGGCCGAGGAGGCTTCGAGGTCGATCTGGTCAACCCCCTCTGCGTCATTGCGCTCAGCACGGGTATTGGCCAAGGCTCTTGCCCGGCATACTTGGCGGATCAGGTGCGGCACCTTCTTCTCGTCGCTCCAACAAATGTGTCTGCGTCCACGCAGGCGTCGTACGAGCGCGTCCGGCTCGTCAACTGGACGTCGGAATTGGACACCGCGCCCAGGGTCATACTGCAAGAATTCGAAACCGATGGCCTCGAAAAGCGCCATGAAGTTCACCTCGAGGAAATCACTCCACTGAATTTCCCAATAGGCAATGCGATCGATGGCCACGAGGACCGCGCTGTAGACAGGGTGCAAGTCGATGTTGGAGGCCTTGATACGCCCCCGGCACCACCAAGTGCACCTCGTGGAGAGCACCGCCGCCACCGTAGCGTGGACTACGTCAGGAGGTGGCAGAGAAAAGACTGGTGAACACCACGTTCAAAGCGGCTTCGCGTAGGCTCGCACGGCCGTGGCCTGGGACTCGCTGCCTCCAGGGAGGCGGCGAATGGCTGCCAGGCACTTGCGGAGCTTGTCCCAGCCTGCTGCGGGCGTGATCTTCGCGTAGGGGTCGTCGGGCACGGCGAGGATGCCAATGTGCTCGATCTGCTGCTTGTCGCCCCGCTTCCAGCTTCCCGACGTTCTCGATGGCGCCCGTGCCTGAGTCGAAGGTGTTGGTGGTCTCCACGTCCGCCTCCATCTGTGGGAGGGAGTCGAAAAAGGCGGACCGGTCGTCCATGAACAGAAACTTCGTACCATTGATGTCCCAGGGGAGACCATCTGGCCCACGCGCGAGGCTGCGCGTGGGCCAGATGGTCTCCCCCGCCAGCTCTCCCGCCACTTGGCACGTCCGAGGGCCCCGCCAGACAGCGTTGGTCACAGTTCGGACACGGCGTGGCGTGTTGGCGTTGCGAAGGGCTGCATTTGCTACAGCGTGCGGCACGTTGTCGTAGCATTTGGACAGGTCCGCACTGGCCGTGCTGGCAGGCGTGCAGCCACAGGCAGCAGGCGTGCACCACCGTGGAGCCAGCCTTGCAGGCGAAGTCGGCGTCCTGCGGCGTGGGGAGGCTCGGCTCACAGGCTGTGAGCCAGGCCTGGAGGAGCACCGAGCCCACCCCGATGGGGCGAGACTGCGTGGGGTCCTTCTTGGGCACCCCCACGACGCGCCAAGCGAAAATGAGGTGCTGGAGCTCCAGGGAGGGGCGCTCGACCAGGAGAGCCTCGCAGGTGTCGCGCCACATCATGTAGAGGTCGAACAAGAGAAACTCGAAGTGTTCTGAAATCAGCTTCAGCTCGCTCGAATGCCATCCGTCGTAACCCGCGCTGCCATTAGCTTTGCGGACGGCGGCCCGAAAATTGGCGCAGGAGGGACACCAGTCCTCGTGATACTCGTCGGCAGACTTCGGCAGAGGAGCTCGCGCATCGGAGGCGTGCTGCTCCCGCCGGGCTGCACGTGCATGCTCGTCTTAAGTTGGGTCCGAGGGGGCCCGCACTTTCTTCCACTCTTCGGCCATGTCCGTGGCGTTGAAGCTGGGGCACTCCGAGGGGCCATGGACCTCTGCCGTGGCTGCGCGCCACGTCTCTGGATAATAATGCTGGAACAGGCGCCACCACTCCGTGCGGCGCTCCTTCATGAGGTCCCGCTGGATCGCCGAGACGGCCTTGGAGACCTGGGCGTGCGCCTCCGCGTGCGTTGGCCGGCCGCGGGGGCCAGCAGTGAGCCGGCCCCGGAGGGCGTTGTCGACGTGCTGGTCCAGGATGGGGCCAGACAGGAGCTCGCATGCATGGTCGCGGAGCTGGTGCGCCATGCGCCGACCAAGACGTTTGAGACGGATGAGCTCCATCGGCTCGGAGGGCCGCGCCGCCGGGGTTGTGGCCACCTTGCGTGAGGTAGGGAGGGGTCCCTTCCCCCTCTCGGCAGCGCCGTCCCGCAGTGGCCATCCGCGCTCCGCAGCTGCCGTCAGAGTGCCCTCGGCCCGGGCATGCCACCGCGACCATCTCTCAGGGAGGGGGGCGGCGGCCTCGCAGACGGGGGGGGGGGCGTTGATCTCGCTCTGCAGCTCCTCGACGTCGCTCGGCAGCAGGATGGTGCCGGAGTCGAGCTTGAACCGCGTGGTGCGGCGCGTGCTTGTAACCTGCACATTGGGGCTGGCGATCTTGGTGGGGAAGACCACCAGGCCGTGGTGCGGGATGAGGGGGAGGAAGGAAACGTCCTTCAACTTAAGCTCCATGCTGGTACCCATGGCCCTCGTAGGGCTCGTCTCGGCCACGGTGGTGGGCTTGGTCGCAGGGCGCAGGAAGGCGTGCTCGGGCAACGCGTTCTCGTAGGAGGGGTGCCAATTCAGGTCCCCGGTGAGGCACCGCGGCACTGGAGGGGTACCACGGGCCACAATAGACATCCAGTTCGCGATTTCTTCCATCCAGGGGTCGGCACGCACGGCAGCCGGCCCGTAACCAGACGTGATCACTCTCAATTTCGTACGGATAGACACTTCGCGATGAGAGTTGGCTCGATGAACAGCAACGCGCCCGAGTGAAGGGCGCCGGAAAATAGCCGCGCCGCCTTGCTGGGCGGCGCGCTTACTTGGCGTTCCGAGGTGGTGGCGTTGAGCAGACCACGCGCCAGCCATGCTGGAGGGCAAGGCGGGTGACCCGCGCGGGCTTGGAGGAGGCCAGGCGGACCTCCTGAAGACATGGAACATGTGCGCTACGAAGTGCAGGGAAAACCAACATCTCCTCCAAGCGGTCCGCGCGGAGGCTCGTGACATGGAGGGTGGCGACCTGCAGCTCCGTCTCCCCCGTCTTGTCCCCCCCGCCGTACAGGGGGTCTACGGCGGGTGGGCGCCGTCTGCAGGCAGCGGCCGGCCGCTTCTTGGCCTCGGCGGCCTCGCGGCGGAGCCGGCTCGCGTGCTTCTGGCGGGCGACCCGCTGTCGGATCACGGGGTCGGAGTGGTGCCTCTCCCTGCGGATCCTGTCGTTCTTCCGCTTGATCTCGCGCTGTGCCGGGTCGGAGTGCCGCTCCTTGTAGAGCTCCTTCCGCCGCTCGCCGTGCGTCTTGAGGAACCGTTTGCCGCTCTTCCGCTCCGCCTCGTGGACCTTGATGGCTGCCTCCTCCTCGCGCATGGCCGTGGGCGTGGTCAAGCGCGTCATGGTGGCGGGCCTGGCCCGGCATGGGTCGTTCCTGAATTGGATCAGGTTGGTGGTCTTGGTGCGCATGGAGCACGTGAAGCGGTGCTGGATGCCGCCGCTCTTGGGAACGTGGGAAGAAACCGTGTTCTCGTCAGGGCTGCGCACGCTGGGCTGGACGCTCGCGGGGAGGGCCGCTTTCCAGTCCTCAGTCCAGGTGGGCTTTGAATGGCTTGGCGCGGCGGGCCTCGCGGAAGGAGGGCCGGGCCCAGGGGCTTGAATGGCGCTGCGGCTGATGGCGGCGGGTTGGTCCTTCAGCTTGGGGGGCGGAGCGCCCTGGCACTCCCGCCAGTGGACGGTGGCCTTGTGGTGACGCCAGGCGGAGGCTTGGCTCCTCGAGAGGTGCGGGGGTGGCGCGGGCGGCGTCCACTGCCCGCAGCCTTTGACGCGTGCTGCGGTGGCCTCGGCGTCGTCAGGGGCGCCGGTATCGAGGCCCAGGGTGCTGCGGGCCCCCTGGGAGAGCGCTGCCGCGGGGCGGCGCTTGGGCGCCCGGGTCGCGGCCGCCGCGCTGGAAGGGGCGGGGGGGCCCAGGGTGGACATGGCCTCGGGGTCGAGGCGGGGCCTGGGCGCCCGGCTCGAGGCGGCCCTGCTGGAGGGGGCTGGGATGCCCAAGATGGGTCGAGCGAGCGGCCCTTCCCCTGGGGGCCGACGACTGGGTGGCCGAGGGTCTTCTCGCGCCAGCCCTCGAAGGTCTGGCGGTACTCGACCGTCTCAGTGTGCTCGGGCTTCGGCTGGAGCCATTTGTTGTTGAGGTCGTCCAACTTCGGCCAGATCTCCTTCAGGCGTGGCTTTGCTCCCTGCTCGCGGCCGTAGAGCGCCCTTTTCTCGACGCCCGGTGTGCGAGACCACGCGTGGATGTCACAGTTGGTGGCTTTGGCGACGAGGCGGGCTGCCAGGGAATAGGCGGGCGTCCCCGTGGTACCAATCTTGTCAGCGTCCTCCTCGGTCGCCTTGAACAGCTTCTTGAGGGCCTGCGCCTGAGCGGCGAGGCGAATGTTGGCCTGAAGCAGACCTCCGGGCTTGAAGTCGCCGGTTTTCGGGGTCGACTTGGACGGCGCGAGGGCGGCGAGCGCCTGGGCGACGGCGATGTAGAAGCAGTCGCTGGCCGCCGCAGGCCCTGACGTTGAAAAACCGTGTGAGCGGCGGGGCGGCGGGGCCAGCCTGGGCCGGCTTGCCGTTCTCGCCCTTGGCATGCTTGGCGGCGAGCTCCGCCTCGTGGGGGGCGGTCCCAGCCATCCTGGCCCAGGCGGCATCCGTGTCCTCCGGGACCGCGGCGGCGGCCGCAGCAGCGCCCATGGGGGCGTCCTGGGTGGTCGTCGGGGGGGCGGCAGGGGCATCGTGCTGAGGCGGGGCCTTCGGGGCCCCCCAGCGTTGGCGGCCCCCCTTGCTGCTCGCCTGGCGGGCGGCCTTGGCGGAGGCGCCGTTCTTCGAGAAAGCCCGAGACACGATGGCCCCAGACGCGGAAGCGTGGGCGGTGGCAACCGCGCCCGCCGGCGTGCCCCCGTAGAGGGTCCACGCGCGGGCGCCTGCCCGGGCAGCGCCGGTGACGTTCTGGAAGCCGCGCTCGGTGGCCCAGGTGGTGAGGTCCCGGGCGGTGATCAGGTTCGCGGGGGCACTGCGCACGTGCCTTTTGATGGCGTCGGCCTCTCCGGGGTTGACCTCGGCGGAGCCTGCAGCGCCAAGTTGAGCTTTTCCGTGGGGGCGGTACAAGAGATGGCCATGTTTCGCGCCCTCTGCATCCTCCTCGTCGGCCCTCCGGGAGAGCCAGCGCAGGGGAGTGGCCGCAGGGGCGTCCTGCTGCATGATGACGGCCCTCCTTTGGGGGGGTGGCCTTCCCGAAGGAGTCGGCGTTGGCCTCGGTCGTCGGCGCGATGCGCGCGACCTCCGCCTCGTAGGCGATGGCACCGCGGGCGCGCAGCGCGCGCTCCGCCAGGTCATCCCCGAGGACGAGGGCGGGAGTGGTCTGCGGCTCCGCGGAGGCCACGTGGAAGAGAGTCTCATCGGCGAACTCCGTGGAGATCGTGATCCGGAAGTTGACCATCTTCAGCTTGGTGGTGGCGACTAGCTCGTCGTCTTTCATGGAGGAGTGGAGCCCCGCGCGTTTCGGCGCGGAGTCGCTGAGGTAGGTGATACTGGCCTTGGCCGACGAGCGGGAGCCCCGCTGACCCTCGAGGAGGACCGAGTCGGACCCGTTGATGTCCAAGACGACGTAGGTGATATTCTGGCGATTCCCGAAGGCCTCCCGCTCGCGCTCGCACTGCTCGTACTCCGCGCGGGTGGCCGCCAGGATGGCGATGGGGCCCTTCGGACTGCTCGAGGGTGGTCCGGGCCGCGTTGGACGGGGCGATCTTGGTCTGCCCCCGCGGGTTTCTGTAGAGGCGGGCTCGCCCCTGGGGCTGACCCCTCGCCGGTGCCGCCCCGGTCGGTTCCAGCGCCGAGGGCGGCGCTCCGGAGGTGATGGTCGAGATGACCTCCTGGGGCTCGGAGATAACCTGGGTCTGCGTGACCTCCTGGCCGCTGTCCACGGTGGCCGTCAGGGGGCGCAGCCCGGAGATGCTCGGGCTGTCCCCCCGCCGGCGCCTCTCGCGCCGGGGCTTCGTGCTGGTGGCCGTCGGTGGCCGCGCCTCCGCGCGCGGGCCCGCGGGGGGCGCGCCCTCGCCCTGGCGCGGGCCCGTCGGCGCCCGCTGCGGCTCGGCAGCGACCGCGGCGACGCTCTGCGCCCTCTGGAGCGGGTCCTGCGCCCGCAGCTTCTCGGCCCGGACCCGCTGCGTGGTCCTGCTGCCGCTTTTCCCGCCGCCTCCGTAGAGCGGGTCTTCCCACCCCGACGGTGGGCCGTGGCATGTGGTGCTGCGTCTGTCCCCGCCGCGTGGCCGATAGCCCGTGCAGGGCGCGTCTGCCTTGAGGCTGCCCTGGTCGAAAGCCTCCTGCCCGATCGAACTCGTGGGCGAGGGGGGGTTTGCATCGAAGGGCTCGATCGCTTCGGACAATTCCTTCTCGACCGAACCCATGGACAGGAGGAAGTCCTCACCTAGGAACTCGATCGCCTCGAGCGTGAAACTGCACTCGTACTCGGTCGCGTCGGTGGCCGGCTGATGTGCCGCTGGCCCCTCCAAGTAAGAGTCGATGCATCCCCAGAAACTGCACTGGCACCTCCTTCCTGACAGGGCCCTGAGACAAGAAGAAGTCCCTCGAAAACTCGATCGGGTCGAGCGTGAAACTGCACTCGTACGCATTCGCATCGGTGGCCAGGCGGTCTCCCGGAACCCAAGGGTAACGCGCGAAAAGTTCATCCGATGACTCCTCAACGTGCGAATCGAAAGCATTCACCCCTTGTGTTGTCTCCGTACTGGCACTTTCGCAGCATATGGGCCTCGAGGGAGCAGCTCGTCGGCCGCTGTTTCGGACCCATTCGCGGCGCCACCTGGCCCGGCGGACCAGGAGCACCCCCGCCGCCGCCAAGACCGTGGGGACGAACCCGTAGTCAGGGGGCTGCTGCGTGGTGGCGGTGTACGCGGCGCTCCAATTTTTCGTTTGCATTCACGCATGGCGTCTCTTCCTGGACAGGCAGAAACGCACTGATTTAGAAGATCCTCCAGAGTGGAAGCGCAGTGATTACGCTGGCACCCCTAAAGAATCACGGGCTGTCCGGTACGACAAATACAGACGGATATCCAGTCTCGGTTGTTTTCGGAAGTGGTACTTGACCAGCCTTATCCATTACGTTCGGCCGATGCTGCCCGTTTCTCGTCGTGTCTGCAATTGCGGATTTCAAGCGGGCCTCAACTGTACGGACACTGTTCGCGCTTTGTTCCAAGATTTTGGTTTGGCACACCGGTCGGATCTGTCAGCGTTCGTAGCCGCAGGGGACATGGCATCTGCGTTCGACTCCATCGATCACGGGGTGATAGGCGACTTGTTGGTCAGAGCAGGAGTTCATGCCGACCACGCCTGTTGCATGTTGAGGGGGGTATCTGGGTTTTCAGCTTCACTGTCATAGCGCCAGCATCGTAGAGCGGGGATGTCGTTCGGAGAACGGTAGGATGTGCCCGGAGTGTCCCGGGGAATTTCGCTTAGAATTTCGCGCGGTTTTCTTGGCCAGGAACGAAGACCCTAAAACATCCACGCGAAATTCGCTTCGTCTTTCGCTCGCCGATTCGGGGTTTTGCACTGACAGAACTCCACGCAGAAACCCGCTGCAGCACGTCTGCAAGGGCGGTGCAGTGATCACTGTTGGCGCCCACGGCTGGCTCCGCGCTTCGGTCTCCTTGGACCCGTGGGGGCAAACAAGGCGGCAAAGAATTCCTGAATGTTTGGAACTTACTGGTTGAACCGCCATGGGAGATTTGGTTCGGAGTTGGTCCTGCAGACATTTCGTTTTCGATTTTGGTAACGGTCAGTGGCTGACGCAATCAGTCCAGGGCGGACAACATCTTCACAGTGGCAGCTTCCGCGGACCAGCTGTTGACGATGTGCCAGGAGTTGACGAATCTGGTGCTTGTAATTGAATGTCATAGAAGTAGAGCTCTCTCCAGTGCATGCGCGGTGGCCATGGCGCGTATGAAACTGGATACATCGACTTGAGCATCCCCGGTGGCGCCACCACTATGGCAATCCAGCTCGCTAGCAATGTGGAGATGCTGGAAGTTCTCCTGGACCGTCGGGGCTCGAGCAGGTGCAACTTCGAGCGTCGACAGCAGAACGTTGAAACCTGTTTCTGGGCTCATTCGGCAGATTTTGTGGGTTTGGGAAAGGCCAAAAATAAGTTTCGTGGTTGGTGCTCGGGACCTTCAGCTTCAATGGCATCTGATTCAAGCTCGTGTCATGCCACATCTTCGTTATTGCTTCCAGCCGAATTTTTTGAGTACAAATTCTTACGCCGGGCGCAATACATTCGCAGGAGGGCAAGCGAGGGCTGCGTGAATTACAATCAACGCGCGCCGAGAATAATGGAATCTTGGGCCAGTCGTTTCAAATTCCGTCTACTTCGTCATCGGATCTTCCATGGAAATCGCCCAGCAAGCTCGGAGGGAGGAGGACCGATCCTGCCCAGCAAGGCAGACTCAGGTTCGACCATCACATGTTTTCAGGAATCGGGCATGGTGGGCAGGCACGCACCCGGTCCCATGGCGATCCCGTCGAGATGTGGATCTTATGCACTCGGCCCCGGGGCACGATGCCGAATGGGATCTTGTCTTGATGATGGTTTACGGTGCGCACTGCAGGGCATTCCGCGACCAGTTCGGCAATGTGCGAAAATGGATGGCGAAATTCGAGTTTTTCGCAAACCAAGTCTGCACCCGCTGGCAGATGCCGCTCCTGCCATGCAGGCCGCGCGTGGACGCTGCGGTGGCACCCGCCGACAAACGCCGGAAGCTTCGCGTATCTGTTCTTGACTGCCTTCCCGTGCGCTCTGCTCCAGCCTCGTTCACACCGCCCTCTGGACTTTTCCTTGCGGGCCGCGAATCCAAAAAATCTGTTCTTGAAAACGTTCCAGGGTACCACGCACAAAGTAGAATGGACGTCGCGTTGCAGTGGGGGGCGATGCCGCTACGGGTACTGTTTGTAGTGGACAGACAACCGCTGCATCGCATCATTTGTGGACATGCCCCTCGCCTGGACCCGCCGGGTTCGCAACTGGTGCGTCGCACTTGCGATCGGATCGTCGAGTTGATTCAGTCCGGATGGTCTCCACCGGACCTTTGGGCCGACCCTGTGGCATGGCGCTGGAGGGAGTACAGTGTCATAGGGGACCACCTGGCAAACTACACGATGGATGTGCAGAGGGCGCGGCCTGTGGAATTTGACCGACCGTACTTCACAAAATCTTTACGGGAGTGCAGTTTGATCGTCCACTCCGACGGCGGCGCGCGTGGCAGAGCATACGCTGCATCGGCGTGGGTCGTTGAGGTCTCAACTGCGAGAGGGGAAGCACTCAGTTTGGCCAGCGGGGTACCTTCCACAGCACATTGATCGACTCGTTCTGGTCTGAGGCGGCCGCGCTGGCTGAATGCTTGACTTTTGTCAGAAAGTTGGTGGGTAGGTGTGGTGTGCAACATCGTGAAATTGCCGGCTAGTGTGGATAGGTTTCGAGCCGTAGCCCAAGTCCAAGTCCAAGTCCGAGTCCGAGTCCAAGTCCAACAGGAGGACGAGGAGGGAGGACGAGGAGGGATGGCGAGGGAGGAAGGCGAGGAGAGAAAGGAGGGTGGAAGTGTCAATCGTGGCACATGTGTCAACAGCGACGGCGATAGGCAGGGGAGGGAGGACGAAGGAGGAGGACGAGGGAGGAGGGGAAGGACGACTTGCGCCGCAGGAGGCGGACGAAGGGAAGGGCGACATGCTCCGCAGGGGGAGGAAGAGAAGGAAGAGGATGATGATGATGTTGATGATGATGCTGCTGATGATGCTGATGATGATGATGCTGATGATGATGATGATGATGCTGATGCTGATGCTGATGCTGCTGATGATGATGATGATGAGGATGATGATGATGACGATGACGATGACGATGATGATGATGGTGATGATGCTGGTGTGGATGATGATGCTGACTCTGATGATGATGCTGCTGATGATGATGATGATGACGATGATGATGATGATGACGATGATGATGATGATGCTGATGCTGATGATGATGATGATGATGAGGAGGAGGAGGAGGAGGATGAGGAGGTGGAGGAGGATGACGATGATGATGATGATGATGATGATGATGATGATGATGATGATGATGATGATGATGATGATGATGATGATGATGATGATGATGATGAGTATGATGATGATGATGATGATGATGATGATGATGATGATGA